CAGTTTCCTCTCCACAGTGTTTTCCAGCCACACTGAACTTCATGCTATTTCTGGGACGTATTTTCACATGTCAGTTCCTGCAGTTCCCTTCACAGGCATGCTATGCTCTCCATTCCCTTTTGCACCTATTGGGCACTTACTTGTCTCTCAATATGTCACCTCCTGTACGAATAAGGTCCTGACACTCCCTGGCAGAATAAGAGCTCTGAATGCCGGTCACGTTGCACTTCATGCCCTTCTCCAACCATCACACTGTGTGGTGCCTGCTCCGAAGCGCAGGCCTCTCCCGGGCAGGAGTGCCTTCCCTCCCGCAGTGCTTGCTCGGACAGGCTCCAGGACTTGAGGAACTCAATGGTATAACTGTTCCCATCTCTTCTAACTCCCAGGCAACACACATGACAGAAATGGTACACAAACAGAAACGGTTTTGTGAGAGCTTTAATGGCACAAATGATTATAGCTACAAGTTATACATATATTGTAAACGGTATATAATGATACAAAGTGCTAACTAAATAGATGAAGAATGCAGAATCACTTTGGCTCAGTTAATTCCAATAATTTCAACAACTGGTTCACTTAAAAATTCATCTGCCTGGCTAAGTCTTCAATTTTTAGAACAGTAAATATTTGTACTGCAATCAAAGTAACTTGTTGCACTTTGCAATGTGCAAGTTTGTACAGTTTCACTCTTGACTCTATTTATAAATATTTTAAGCCAGTTTTTATCACACAGTAGAAAAACGAAGCCTGCCTTTTCATTTCCAAGTTGTAAACAGGTGTAACGCTTTTTAAACATTACTCTTAAAATGTCAGCTCTTAATTGTGGATTCTCCTTTCCAATCACATCATCTGTTTCTGTTCAACACAAATCTGGGGAGGAGCATAAATATCTGTCTCGTAAGCTAGTGCTACCAATAAACACTGCATGATTCCACCTTATAGAAGTTCTACTGTGACCATGTAATAAACAGGACAACATTTCACTGGTATTTTTAAGAAAAAGGGCAAAACTAAATTTATTTTCAATGTTGAAAAAATATCATTAATATACCAAGTTCAATCATACTGATAGAACTGTTACTGAATTTCAAAAGAGAGCGATGCAGTGCCTATACAAAGTTGGTCTTATTTTAATAATAATTTTGCTTTTCCCTCCCATAATGCCAAATTGTATATTATAGCAGTTTAATTATTTAGTTCTCTTAATTTTACCAGCTTTTCCAATTTTATTCAGGCTTTTCAAAATCAGTGGATCATCAAATTTTTGTTCTTCCCAAAGAAATTTAAATATGAACACTTGAAATAAATAGGTTACAGAAGACAAATCAAGTGTTACCAGGTTTAAGAATAACATAGAAACAAGGTATAATAAAAAGATGTCCAAAATTATTTAGCATACATTGCTAGAAAGAAACAAAGTAAAATAATTCAGAAAACTATTTTGTATATATCATCTCTTTCTTAAAGATAGCTAGCTATATTCCTGAAAAAAAAAAGACAGTCAGAAATTATTTTTTTGTTACTCGGTACGTTATTTTCCACTACAACACAAATTTTTAAAAACTTGATGTGAGAGAGAAGAGTTAGTTTCTGCAAACTGGCAAACCTGGTTGTCAAAGTGTTTTTATTCAAGTCAACCTGATGTACTTTATTTAATGAGTATTTTGCTAGTTTTAAAATTAACAATGGTCTCTAAATATTCAATAGTAATGTCTATATCATAAACAGTAATTATTTATATATAAAACATATAATAATATCCTTCAGAGTCATGCTATGTGTTTTGAAACCCAATAAATCTACTTGAAATAATTGGTAATCCTGATGCTTTCTAACAATTTGGTCCTAAAGCTTCACATTTTAGAAACAAACACACAAAAAGTATGTCACTGAAGGAAGTTGCCTGAGACGTTCCTTATCAGAAATAAAGATTCTACACCATAGAAAAGACAGCATTACAACCTACTAGTATTAAAATCTGCTGATGTATTTTAGTTCTTATTCTATTTCACACCCATAGACCGTGTCCTACAAATTAAAAGGTGCCATTAGGAGGTTTAGACAAAGCTGGTTTAAAATAAATTTTTATTGCCCAAGGTATTTTTTTCTTGTGTCTTGCGTGTTTGTTTGTTTTTCTTGTTTCCTTTTTTAATAACTATAAATTCAAGCTTAAGGAAGCTTGCCTTTTTTTGAAAAACAAAACAAAGCTTTTACGTCATTTGCTAGTCTTATCTTGTTTTATGAGCGAGATGGTAGTCATCTTGAGAGAGTAAAATTTATACCATGAGTGATTCTGGTCTAAGTCTGGTGGCACTAAAAGGAGACAATAGCATTATTGACAAAATTATTAACTGCTGGTGGCATTTGCGGAAAAGAAGCCCTTGCAAATTTCTAAACAACAGTAAACTCTGTTAGGAGATTCTAAAGTCTTACAGGCCCAAAGAGAATGAGGTTAGTAAAATGCCTCAACAGAGTTTGAATAAAATACTGGATTTGAGAGTTACTGGAGCTTGGATATGTAAAAATAGGACTGTAGGTTGGGTCATGCTTACAAGGGTCTCAAGTTCAAATAAACTACTGTGACAATACACCACTTCACAGGGCGCACGCGTTCCCGGGGCTCCTGGCCTTCAGTAGGTGCTGGCAGAAGATGTGCTCAGTCGCTTTCCAATATAGATGCTGAAAGGAAACAAGCGCACAAGTTCACGGGCTGCGGCAGCTCTGCACCAGCGCCTCCACAGGCTCACCTCAAGTAACCACCAAACCTTCAGTCCTTATAAAAGGCTCAAAAAGTCTAAGTGCCCAGTTCCCTAGCGCCCTCCCTGAAATCCTCACTGGCTTACTAAAACTAGTCTCCTGCCAGCCAAAGTGGTTTAATACGATTACGTTTTAACCCATTAGGCAGGCCTGGCCAGCACAGGGGCAGTGACCAGACAAAGGAGAGCTGAGGGAACAGGCCCATCACAGAGCAAAGCAGAGCCAACCTCCTTTGGATTACTCCTTTGTGGAGACAAAAATTCCACTCTTTTTATAGATTGACCCTTCAGATACAAAGTATAGTAATATATCCAATTATAAAGCTGCCAGTGCTTCATTTTAAGAGGGCTCTTACTAACAGTTTAACTCCTAAGGCTTAAGAGCCTAATATTACTTTTCTATGCAGAGCAAATATTTTGCCCTTAAATAACATAAGCCGAAGGGAAGTTAAAGAAAATATGGAATTAGTCCCCACCCCCCACCCCGCGCCGGGCACTGCCAACTATTTAAAATTCTTTTTTCTACATTCACCTATAACAACAGTTACACTTAGGCCAGCAAGAGAAATAGTCTGGGTTCATGAAAGGAAGAGATACTACAAGGTACATAAACCAACCTCTTGAAGGCAAATGAACTACTGTGCAGTCAATGCTGTGGGGGAATTTCAACTCATCAACCCCTGCCCCCACACCAATCCCATACAACATTCACACACTCCCTTCCTCCACAAACACCTTCCTGTGCTGATGTGATCACTGTCCTCAAAAGCAGATCATGCACTCAGAAAGACAAAAGGGTGTGTGGAAAAGCCATGCACATTTCCATGGTCATGACTATGAACATCTCTCTGGTATGCTGAGCTCCTTAAAGGGGATCTAAGGGATGATGTGCCTTTTGATTATTACAAAGAGAAAGTGACCCACTGGACATGCTTAAAGAGAATAAAAGTTATGTCTTGGAAAATAATTAACAGCTAGTGTTTAACTCCTAAAATCTTTTAAAATCTATTTCCTCAATTATTCAAATCAAGAAAAAAAAAGAATTTAAAAGACATGCCTGAAAAATTAATGAATTATAGGTAAATGTGGGATTAATTTTAGAGTAATAAATAAAAATGCTACAAAGAAAAAACAACAACAGTATCCTCAAACAACTTACCAGTTTTACTCAAGGACTATACAATAAAATGGTGTATTGTCCCAGCTGGGATGAAAAAAGTTCCCATCAGCCCCCAAATTTACACACTAAAGATTAGTTTAAGATTTAAATCATCTTGAGCAATTTATAAGCAACAACAAAACCCAAAAAAGAAAAAAAATCAGTCATAGATGAGAACACTTAAAATGATCACTTTGGCCCTAGCCCCTTTGGCTCAGTGGATATAGCATCAGCCCACAGACTGAAGGGTCCCGGGTTCGATTCCAGTCAAAGGCACATGCCCGGATTGTGGGCTCGATCCCACTGTGGGGGCATGCAGGAGGCAGCTGATCAATGATTCACTCTCATCACTGATGTTTCTATCTCTCTTTCCATCTTCCTTCCTCTCTGAAATCAATACAAATATATTTTTTAAAAATGATCACTTTGGAAATTAATATGAACAACCTATTTTTCAAATAAGAAAAAAACTCTACTATAAAAAATGCCTATAAGTATACCAACCTTAGTAATTCTTTTAAACTCACACCCTATTTGCACTAAAACTTTAAAAGCAAAACAATACAAACAACTTTCACATGTATTTCTTTCATCTGGAAATAAAATATGAGGATAAAACGAGCAGGAAAAAAACCCTCCAAACTGTTATGAATTGACCAGTACTTACCCTAGCCCCAAAGCCAAAACATGAGAAAGGAAGAGAGATGGAATGAACACCTTAAGAAATTCCGCAGAGAAAATGCCCCCCTTCTTCATGGCTCCACTTTTCCTCATGCTTAAAGAAACAGAACGTTTAGGGTGCCTGAAGTGGAACTCCCTGGGGGAAGAAATGCAGAAGTAGGGATCAGTAATGCATTTGCTAAAAGTACCTTGGGAACCAGCAGGTTCACTGCATATACAGGCACTGTATCCACTGAAAAACATGTGAGAACTTACTTCGGGGGAATGTTTTCAGGCCTACTGGACCAGTCGGACACCCAGTCTACACTTTTCTTCAACGCATCAACTTCTCTCTCGCCTTCTACAACTTCTTCTTCTGACTGTAAAGGAGAATTCAAACTTTAAAAAAAGACAAAAAGAAAGACGTGTTCTTCCAACAACAAAAGACAAATCTAGACAGAAAATCATAAGGCTATAAATCAGTCTTTTTATGTAAGAAACATGCCATTTTTCTAAAAAGGCTGACAAAATAATCAAAAATCAGAGTATTTAATGTCTTAAAAAAAACTTGAGTTTCACTGTTTTTTATATCTAAGCATAAAACATGAACCTGAAACATCAATGAAGCCTCAATAAAAAAAAAAGTGAAACTGAAAAAAGCATATTTGAGGATATGCTATCTAAAGTGTGGAAAATGTTAATAATTATTGAAACTGGGTGATGCTTATATGAAGGTCCAATGTAATACCCACTCTACTTTTGTATGTGTTTAAAACTTTTCATAATTAAAAATAAAAGGGAACATATCAAAAAGTACATGCTAACAAATATTAAGTGATGAGAAAATAAGTAACTTGGAGACTTGATGAGGAAACAAATAATTCTATCTAATAAAAGAGAAACATGGTAATTAGCCGTACCTCTGCTACCCTTCTCATTGGCTAATCAGGGCGATATGCAAATTAACTACCAGCCAAGATGGCGGCCGGCAGCCAGGCAGCTGGAAGCGAACATGAGGCTTGCTTGCTTCAGTGACAGAGGACTCCAATGTTCCCCGCCTGCTGCTGCCGGCCTCTGAGCCTTTTGAAACATTGTTACAAATATAGAATCTAAACAAATTCAAGAAACCTGCTTTCAGCCAGCCGGATCTCAGAGCTGGAATTGAAACAGTGTTTCGATTATAGAACCCAAACAAACCAGATACCTGCTTTCAGCAGCCGAGGCCTAAGAGCTGGAGCCAAGCCTCAGAGCTAAAGCTGGCCAAAATAAAAAAAATAAAAAAAGGAGTGGATGGGAGCTTCAGTCACCCGCCAGCCTGAAAACAGCCCTCAGCCCCTCACCCAGACTGGCCAGGCACCCCAGTGGGGACCCCCACCTTGAAGGGGGTGTGACCAGCTGCAAACAGTCATCATCCCGTCACCCAGGCTGGCCAGGCACCCAAGCGGGACCCCCACCCTGATCCAGGACACCCTTCAGGGCAAACCAGCCGGCCCCCCCCCATGCACCAGGCCTCTATCCTATATAGTAAAAGGGTAAATATGCCTCCCAGCACCGGGATCAGCGGAGCCACGAGGCCTCCCAGCACTGGGATCAGTGTGA